CACAAGGCAGTTACTGCCCCCATGTAGTCACAACACTAGGTGCTTCCTTTGAAAGGTTACACCACTAAGAAGTTACAACAACGGGTAGTTACATCGCAAGGTCGTTACTGCACCAGGTAGGTAAAACACTAGACAGTTACTATACCGCTTAGCTATAACACCAGTTAGTTACAACACTAGTGAATCACAACATCATGAACTTCAATCACCAGGTAGTTACACACAAATAGTTACTGCATGAGATATTGACATCACTAGCAAATTACATCATGTAGATGAATGGTTCAGAGAACCGACAAGTTGATAAATTAAACACATATGCAACACCTGGGTATCTTTATTGAGGAAACGTTTCGCCACACAGTGGCTTCATCAGTCCATACATTCCTGTCTGACACAGCAACATCTTGGGATCTTAATACAGGGAATTCTTCACTTGCCTAACCCTTGGGCACGACCTACTTCCACAGTGGTCAAATGTGATACCTCCTACGACTGCTGCACCTCTCCTGCCTACAGTATATAAGCTGCTACTTTGCACATATGCTGTATTCTTTTCAAGATTGATGGACTGGCTACATCGACTAAAGGCTGAGAGACTGATTACCTCAAACTTCTCCTGCTCTTCACCATTCTCCTTTGTATGGACTGATGAAGCCACTTTGTGGCGAAACGTTTCCTCAATAAAGATACCCAAGTGTTGCATATCTAATTTATCAAGTTACATCATCAGGAAGTAACAACATAAGGTAGTTATATCACAAGTTATTTACTACCTCAGATAGTAACAATAGCAAGTAGTTACTCCGCCGAGCAGTTAGAACACCAGATACACCACCAAGAAGTTACTGCATCACATACTTTACAATGTAGTTACAACCCCAGGTTGTAACCAGGAAGTTACTTGACAAGATACTTAGTTCACACGTTATTTACAACACCGGGAAGATACAACAACAGGTAGTTACGTCACCGGGAAGTTAGAACACCAGATAGGTGTATCACCAAAAAGTTACGAAGAGCATACTGTATCTGGCTGGGAATTGAGGCTAGTTGTCGTACAGCTTCCCAAGAAACTAAACTCCTGATGCCTTAGAGTCAGACCACTATGCCATCATGCCATGGTGGCATAGTGGTGTAATTAAGAGTTTAACCAGTTTTCCGACCCGTCGCAGTGTATTTCTTGCTTTAAACTACGTATGAAAATTGTAGCTGCAGAGTGAATTATAAAAACGCAGAGTGATTTTACCGTAATATTGTTGGTGCACGAGGCAGAATTATTGGTATATCGAGTAATATATTTACACATACACAAAGTTATATAAATGAGATGAATGAATCTAGACAGCCATTTTAGATGCATAAAGCAATGTTACATATGCACAGAGAAGCATCCACATACTTAAGATAAATTATATTACACAATGTTCCATTTAAAACACGTACTGAATATTTTTATTAAGAAATTAACTAAAAAAAATTTTTGGAATAATTCTTGCACTAAACAGGGTATTTAAATGTGCTTCAATGGGACCTTTTTTTTTAGTACCCTTTTGACTGAGTAATGGATACCCGGTTCCCATTTATTTTGCCCCTTAACCAGGGATATCACAAGAGAGAGTTAACTCTATTTCTCTCTCTCTCTCTCCCAACTTATAAAATAATTAAAATGTGGGATTACTAAATATAAATATAAAACTCCTTTGAACCAGCCACCGAATATTCGAAAAACATATATTTTAATTGAAGAGTAATTAATTACGGGGATTTCCTTTTGTAGGCAGAGAAGAGACGATGAATGGACGAGTGTTTATCAGTCTCACTAAACGCTGCCCATAAAACCAAGTGATTATACAAGGATTTTGAAAACATAGTTACAACTTAATTCCTTACAATGATCTCTCGTTCTCTCTGTCTGTGTCTATTTGTATGTCTGTGTCTGTCTGTCTGTCTGTCTCTCTCTCTGTCTCTCTCTCTCTCTCTCTTTCTCTCGTGCCACTGATCAGCAGATGTGTGTGATTCATTTAATTTTAAAAGAGGTTCCCAAATATTTAATAACTACATTTTTAAGGAGTGTTTTATAATTGTAAATATTTAAAAACACGTTATTATAAAAATATTTTATAATTTGCAGTGGGAGGGACTACTTATACCATTATTTACAGCTTTGTATCTTATTTGTGAAGGTAGTGAAAATAATTACAACGTAATACAGACACATTACGAGTTATAAAATAGGAGAGGGTTATCAAAATAATCATTCGGTATTTTTGGCTGCTTTTGGGAAATTTATACACAAAAAAATAAATTCTAGACTTTCAGAAAATTGACTCAGAATTATTCTTTTTGTTTACCAGAGAACAAGACTGTGATTATTATAATTATAATTATGGGGGAGCGCTAAACCAGTAGGATTATATAGCGCATGTGGGGGGATGGGAGGCATTCAGGCTCAATTCAGGGAACTGGAGCACAGATCCAATTCCCTAGATCAAGAGCCCCTCACCAGCATCAAGGAACCTCCCTTGAGGGGCTACAAGGCTGTGAGACTTCTGCTTCTGGCATAGCATTTGTGAGGTGTGTTTACTGGAGCTCTTAATTATTCTTGTTTCAGGACCACAACAAATAATTTTTAATACTCATGGTACGTGACTCAGACATTTCTAACAATATTTCGTTTCCTCCCATTACCTGTTTACCTTCCATTCTCTAGGTGCTATATGAATTTACCGAAAATAAAAATACTTTTGCCCAATTGCAATTCGGACCCATGTTTTGAAAAGTGAACAAGAAAAACACGGTGAAAAAAAAACGAGGAAGAGATACCCAGTTATGAGATTTCCCAGCGATAAATAACAGGATGACTCAAATATTGTTTGATCTTAGTATCAAATTTATTCTCACACACACACACACACTTACATGGGGGGCAGGAGCTGTGAATCAACCTCTGCAACCAAAAAAGGTGAGTACATACACAACACCATCACCACCAAGGTGGCTGCACGCATCCTTTCCTGTTTAAAGACGGATAATCTCATCCTGCTGTGGCAGAAGAGCCAGGCACGTTTTATAGTATCCTTTAACATGTAAAGGAAATATTAATTAAAAAGGTTCTTAAGTCTACGAGCTTTTATGTGGATTTTGAGGTAAAGTGGTAACACAAACTTCAGTAGTTTATATAATGGATGAGAGCGCCAGTAATGGCTGTGCCTTCCCTCACACACACAAAAAATGTGTAACACCAAAGAGAAAAATGCTTGCATTAATGTATAGAATTACGAGATTGCAGTAGTGGTTACCTAGCGTTGTAAGCACCTTCTACGGTAACTACGTGATGTAGTAACTACGCGATGTAGTAACTACGCGATGTAGTAACTACGCGATGTAGTAACTACGCGATGTAGTAACTACGCGATGTAGTAACTACGCGATGTAGTAACTACGCGATGTAGTAACTACGTGATGTAGTAGCAATTTAGTTATGTAACTGCCTGTTTTAGTTACCTGGTGTTGTAACTACGTGGCTTAATAACTACATTATGTTGCAACTACTTGGAGTTGTAACTAGTACTTGGTGTAGTAACTACCTGGTATAAGAACTACCTAGTTTAGTAACTACCTTGTGTTTTAAATATTTGGTGTAGTAACTACCCGATGTTGTAATTACATAGTGTTGAGCTAACTAGTGTAGTTACTAAGAGGTGAAGTAGCTAGGTGTAGAAACTACATGATGTTGCAACTACCTGGTGTAGTAATTACCTGGTGTATTTACTATCTGGAATTGTAACTGCCTGATGTTGTAACTTGTGTAGTAGTTACCTGGTGTTGTAACTACCTTGTGTAGTAGCTAACTGGTGTAGTTACTACGTGGTGTAGTTAATAAGTGGTGTAGTAACTACCTGGCGTTGCATCTACCCGGAACTGTAGCTACCTGGTGTAGTTACCATCTGGTTTTGTTACTAATTGTGTTGTAGCTCCTTGATGTAATAATTAATTGTTGTAACTACCTGGTGTAGTATATGGTGTTTAAACCAGCAAGTTTTGAAGCTAAATGGCGTAGTAAATTCCTCGTGAAGTAATTACCATCCATGGTGTAGTAGTTACCTGGTATTGTAACTACCTGGTGTTATCAACAATTGGCGATATAACTACTTTGTGTTATTAGTACCTTACGTTGTAGATACCTTGTGTTATAACTACATGGTGTAACAGGTATCTGGTGTTATAATTACTTAGTGTCATCAGTTCCTTTATTTACAGTTACCTTGAGTAGTTGCTACCTGGTGTAGCATCTGTCTTGTGTTCTAGTTCATTGCTGCTTTAAGCACCTGTTGAATTAACTTTGTGCTGTTGTGTCTACCTGTTGATGGAACTACCTACTAATGTAACTACCTGGTGCTCTAATTACCCTCTGAATGAACTACCAGGTGTAGTGACTACCTGGTCGTGCAGCTACCTGATACCGTAATTACACGACTCTTGTACCCAGCTTTACTGGGTTACCTTTTACACCCACGAGAAATGTATCTCTGGCATCATGTCATCAGGTTTCCTATTCACAGTGAACGAAGAGTCTGTAGGAAGGTTCCTTGATGCTGGCGTAGGGGACTCTTGATCAAAGAAACTGGAAAAATTTTCCTTCCTATTCCTTGGATTGAAACCTCATGACCCCCAATGACCTACCCCTACAGGTTTAGCGCTTTACCCTAAATACAATAAATAAATGAAATAAGGACAATTTGCCTCGTTGGAAGTAAAATGGTGCCGCCCCCCCTTTTTTTTTTTTACCATGTAATTCGACAGATCATTGGTCATTAGTGTTTGTTTGAAGAGTCACTGACGCGGTTGACAAAATTCTTCAGGTGTGATTTTAACGAACTTCATCATTTCTAGTCTTGAACTTTCACCATATTATTGCAAACGAAATTCTGAAATGCTGAATATTGTATTTAGCATTCATGGAAAATTGTTCATTTGAGGAGAATTTAAAATATGCGTTTGGTGTCAAATTTTATTCAACGATTATATTAAATGTTTATATACAAAACTTTAGAAACACATACATGGTACACATATGCAGTTATCCATACATAGTATATCATTATATTAACAGCAGAGAATACCGTCAAGGTACAAGGTAGGACCACGTCCTATGTCCTCCAAATACTAATAACTGTATTTGGTTTAGTGAAAAAAATCAAGCATGTAGAAGGCCACTTATATATTTATACAAGTCCACCTGCTAGAAGACACCAAGAGAAGGCAAGGAGCATCACATTTCTTGTTTGTGAAACTCCTGTTTTTAGAATGTTTGAAAAATCACAGTAAGACTTGTTTACAGAATGCCCAGTTGGAACATGTTATATATTGCCAATTATCAACGCTTATTCCAAATTATACTATTATTATTATTATTATTATTATTATTATTATTATTATTATTATTATTATTATTATTATTATTATTATTATTATTATTAAGACTGAAAAAGTTCTTGTAAAGGATTTTAAAGGTTGAAGACAAGATGCATTTTATGTTACAATAAAAACTTATCTAGCCAATGGTCACAGATATCTTTGGTGAGCTCAGGTTGGAAACACAAAACTAACTCACACAGCCAACTCATCGAAGTGACTGAAATGCATGATCGATCAGTTCGATGTCACGGGAAACAATTCCAGTGTTCCTTCAGCGTCGAGGCGGTCAACCACCCAACACGAGAAATACTACACCACTTAGTATGCCTCAGACACACTATTTTTGTGGCAAGCAGCTACAACTTGCGTGCAGGGCAGCACTCAACATTGTTCGATGTAATTCTTCCATGTGCACAGAGTGCGGGGAAAAAAAAAAGTCGATGTGCGCGAAGACCAGCTTCTTTCTCACAAGTTCAACGTGTCCACGGTCCAGGGCGGCTCGATGGGTCCGCCTCGGCTGAAAATCAGTAGGCAAGTCCGAGGTATCTAGTAGAGCACTCAATGGGGAGACCTGACAGACCTCTGCGGTAGAAATGGCGTGTGGGTGGCCTCAGGATCTTCTGCTGAGGAGACTTCTCCCTGCGATCTCGATCAACTTCTTTGTCGCAGGTAAGAGAGAAGAGTGACCACGCCCGACGGAATTGTGAACGTCGTCCTCTGCTCTCAGAGGTAACTGTTGGAGTTGTCGGTGTGTTGACGGTGGTAGTCTGCTCGGCCGACTTGGCTGGAGGTGGAAGACTGACGGAAGTACAGTAGTGGCTACGTCGCTCGCTGCTTAGAGAATCGCGATCGGTACGACGTTCTTTAGAACGGCTGTGTCGTTGGCAGTGGTCTTGACTGTTGCTTGAGCTGATGGTGTGTTTCTCTGGGGACTGTCGCTGCCAGTCTACCAATCTTTCCACGCTGCTCACGCCAATCCTGACGGCGGTTCCTGGTTTGCTTTTGGGTGAGGTAAGGCAGCTCACGCTTGCCTCATGTGAGCGGCCTGGCTGCTCTCCTGGACTGTACCAACATTCGTCAGAAAACCTCAGTAACTTCTGCCCTGGAGCTAAGGTAGCAGAGACCGAGTGTGTATCTTGAAACTGTTGTGTTCGCAGCCGACCCTCTGCTGAGACCTCCCTCCTGCTGACGCTCGACTTCGGTGGCACCATCGGAGACTCGCTCTGAGTAAAGTCAAAGCTCTGCATTCTCTGTAGCCTTTTTCGTTGCTTTTTCTGACTAGAAGTCTCGTGATTAGGATAAGTAATGCTTCTAAATTTCATAGCAATCTTGTTCGTAGCCATGATAGCAATACGTGTCACTAAACCAACACGCCCCTCTTTCACACACGTCTATAGTTTTTCTGGAGTAACTGAGTCAGAAATTCTCACGAAGCCAGCGGCAGACTGCTAACTCACAGCACGCTCTCTTGAGCGTGCCAGCTGCTCCCGTCTCTATATACGTGCCTGGCGGGAGCCACGCCTCCTGCGTGGTGTGAGTTGCCAGTGTGTGACACTGTTCTAGCCTACATGCTCTCTCAGTCTTATTAGTGTTAACAGAGAACGAGCTCTTCTATTAAACACTCCTAGCACATATCACAACTCTTTTAAGTTGAATTTCAAATAATTGTCTCATCTGCGGGAAATTATAATTTATTTAACTATTTATTTTATATCCATCGATCCCTAAAGCTGTATCTTAAAATTCTTCTTCAAATGTATTTTCTTTGTCCTCAAGTAGATCACTCTGCTGCATTCCTTCAGCTACACTCCGCTAGCACACTGACGTGTGCGCGCAACTCATTGATGCAGCAGCATACTGGCCAGAGTCGAGGCATTACGGTGGATACTTGTTGCTTCTCACAGCGGACAGGGATCCTTCGGATGCTTCGTTAGACAGCGTGTGCGTCTCGCACACGCTAAATGCGCTAAATGACCAACACTTGTTTAACACACACAAACAAGATAAAAAATCCACACAGTGGATACACGGGAATCCATAACTCGCTCATGTTGATGCTTTTGTTGAATACATTATATTTTAAATTTATGATTCAAAATTACGATATTCTCCTTTGTTAACTTTCGGTTTTTCTATAAGCTCTTCTATTTTAGTTATAATTTCAGGGGCATCTGCTGTTTTTTCCTTTGTTTTAGATCTGTAAAACATTTCTGTTGCATGTTTTATTCTTGCAGAAAAGCGTTACAATGGTTTTTCTGTTCTTGGAAGTTGCTAATACCACTCGTGAAACAAAACTCGGTTTCAGTAGTTTTTTTTCTTGCTGAATTTGATTATTTTTGCTACATTTGCTGCGACTACCACTGCTGTGACTGTTAACACCAGAATACTTCTTCTAATAGGCTTTAACCCCTAACAACAGTGTATCTTAATTAAACAAAGATTTGGGTGGATTTTAAGTTGTGTATGAGCTAATTTGTCAGTTTTATTGAAAATTTGGTTATAAATTAAACGTTCGGTTTCCTGTGAGTTGGTTTTTATGCGATAATTTGTGAATGCCTCATCAGATCCGCTTTAAATCTTCAGTGACGAAAACTCAGGAATGCAATTTGTGTGTGGTTTTTAATTCAAGTGATGGATTATTTTCGGAATCATCTCTGTGCTACAATTAAGGAATGCCTATTCTGGTTTACCATTAACCCTTAATAGAAGCAGCAATTGTTTCTTGGTTGTGTAAATGTGAATTAAGCATTTTATTAAGGTATTAGCTTCCTCACGATAAATTGTGGTCCCTCTGATTTGTTTAAAATCTTCATTAATAACATTGAAATACATTAAAAAAGTATGCTACACTTACCTTTTCCTTTTGTGTACATTGCGTAGCCCAGTGACTGAAACCATGTAGTTATTGGTAGGATTGTTGGGCATCTCCGAAGAGGTATTAAGTGACTGACAATTATTTTTTAATATTCTCCAAGATTTTCGTTTTACAGTCGCCAACTCATCTAATAAATTTCAAATTCTCAACGCTGGTGCACCGTAACTTTGAAGAGATTTATGCAACTATTGGTATGTACAGGTTTTCATGCGATAACTTGAGACAGCATCTTCTCATCGGCTTCATACTTTCAACTCTAGTAATAACATTTAGAAAAAAAGTTGGGATTGCTGTTGAATTAGTGTGTTGGTGTCGGTTTGCTCATTTTATTTTTAAAATTGTTTGGTATTGCTTTCTGTAAAGTATCTTGACTATGCGTCTTCTGAAGTACTTCAATTGTTTGTTTTAGATGAATTAAATATGCAATGTGTGGTGTAAATATTATGCAGAAAATTCGGAATGTCGAAATTAAGAGAAGGTGAGGAGTTAATAAACGTATTAGTCAGAGGGCTGAAGAGGGGTTGTTGAGGTGGTTTGGTCATTTACAGAAAATGTATTAAAGTAGAATGACTTGGAGAGCGCATAAATCTGTAGGGGAAGTAAAAATAATACTGTAAATGGTTATAAATGACCATAATTTTTAAAGGGGTGGACCGGTAAGCCAGCGGAAGGCCTCGGTCAGATGACCAAAAGCTCCAAAGGCGGGTCATCATCTGACTCTAAGACCCGCGTCAGGAAACATTTGTCCTGTTTCCTGACGAACCTTACCTAACCTAACCTGTAGGGGAAGGAAGGCGGGGTAGTGGTCGTCCTCGAAAAGGTTGGAGGGAAGGGGTAAAGGAGGTTTTGTGGACGAGAGGCTTGGACTTCCAACAAGCGTGCTTGAGCATGTTAGATAGGAGTGAATGGAGACGAATGGTTTTTGGGACCTGACGAGCTGTTGGAGTGTGAGCAGGGTAATATTTAGTGAAGGGATTCAGGGAAACCGGTTGTTTTTATATAGCCGGACTTGAGTACTGGAAATGGGAAGTACTTTAAAGGAGAGGTTTGGGATATTGGCAGTTTTGAGGGATATATTATATATCTTTATATATGCTTCTAAACTGTTGTATCTGGGCGCCTCTGCAAAAACAGTGATTATGTGTGAGGTGAATTGAATGATGATGAAAGTATTTTCTTTTAGGGGATTTTCTTTCTTTTTGGGTCACCCTTCCTCGGACTGAAGAAGCCACTGGCTGGCGAAATGTTTCCAGAATAAAGATCCCCAAATGTTTCACAAGTGTCTCATTCATAATCTTACCGATTTTCCGAAACATTTATATAACAAACAGGTTCGCTCAACAGCTACAGTAACTTTACGTTCTTGATGTCTTTATGGCGCTGGTTTAACCAGCGCCATAAAGACATCAAGTCTTTCCTGCATATTTTTTTCAGGATTGTGATTCGCACTGTGTTTTGAATTTTTTTCCCTACACAGAGCACTGAGGGTCACAGTTGTGTTACTCATGAGGCGCCAGGTGTGCATCACTGATCTAAATGTGAACCAAGACACTGGTAGCAGAAATCTATCCTAGTAATCTCTTAGCCTTGTTGCGCACACATGAGCACTGGTGTCATGACTTTAGATTTCTGCCTTTCTATATAGCGTTTCGATCATGCCTGGGCTTCAAGTACCACCATAAAAGGATTCTCTTTTAGCACTTGTCTGCTTATGCCATTGTTTACACACCGCGTCTTGTGAGTGTTTCTGCGTGCCGGCGAGCCACGTGTACGTGTGAGTTAATGATTGGCTGATTGGTTAATTGGGTTTAAAAAATATTACCTACACGAGGGTCATTTAAGCTGCATGTAACCTCTTCACCAACAGTCAAGACTACCTCGGTGTGTGTATCCAGTCCGCTGAATTTATGATCCGATTTGTGAATTTATTCGTGCGAGAACTTATGCACTTGTGGATGTGTGTATTTTCTTGTTTGAGTGTGTGTGTGTGTGTGTGTGTGTGTGTGTGTGTGTGTGTGTGTGTGTGTGTGTGTGTGTGTGTGTGTGTGTGTGGGGTGTGGTGTGTGTGCGTGCGTGTGGTGTGTGTGTGTGTGTGTGTGTGTGTGTGTGTTGTGTGTGTGTGTGTGTGTGTGTGTGTGTGTGTGTGTGCGTGTGCGTGTGCGTGTGTGTGTGTGTGTGTGTGTGTGTGTGTGTGTGTGTGTGTGTGTGTGTGTATGTATGTGTGTGTATGTGTGTACGTCCATATACGTGTGTGTATACTCACCAAGCTGCATTTGATGGGATTGAATCTCATCTCTCGGCTCCGCGTCGTTTAACAACAATCGACGGAATTGTTGGTTCCTGGTCTCATGAGCCCTATCATACGTACTCCTGAAACCGTGTGCTGAGTTTACCTCTTCTACGTTTCTGTATTTGCTCTTGTTGCCAATTCCATAGATAAGAACTATAACAACTGTGTTGAGTAGGCATAATAAATAACCTCTGGGCTTCTACACTACAAACTGAATTGTTTACCATCGTACTGGCAATAAACTTGACAAGCCATACCACGGTTGGGGTTAAAACCCGTCATCAGAGTCACAAAGCTAACAGGATGAATCTTATCGTTACTAGCTGGCCCAGTGGCTAACGCGTCGGGTTCTAACCTCACCCGTGATATGATTTGTTTGCAATCGTGTCATTACGATTTCGTGAGTCAAATAAACTTAACTTCTGACACTGACCTTGACTCCTTGATTATTACCGATTTTTCTATCATCACTGTAGGCATTTGACTACCATAATAACTAACAGCATGGCATTAAAGAAACCAGGTACAGATGCTAAAAACATCTGAAAAATAGAAATTCATGTACTGTTCTTATGATTTCCATCGCACACCGAATTACTCCTTCATAATAAAGATAAAAAAATTGCCAAAATGCCCTGAAGAGTATATCTGTGTCAAACATTAGGAATAATGAAGAAATGGTATGGTGATACCTACAAGATGTGGAAAAAGGCACTTATGAACAGTTATGGACAATTATTAAAGGAAACGTTTCGCTACGAGTGAATTATTCAGTCCTAATACAGAGAAAACTAAGATAACGAGTATATATAGTGGCAGGAGACAGGTGGAGTGTCGCGAGGGTAGAGGTGGTAGTAGCAATAGTGGTGGAACTAATGTGGTGAGATGTTACCCATTCTGGAGAATACTGTAACATGATGTCAACACGTCCCTCTCTAATCCACCAATCTCACCACATTAGTTCAACTACTACTATTACCTCTACCCACGCGACTCTCCACCTGACTCCTGCCACTATATATACTCGTTTTCTTACTTTTCTCTGTAATAGGACTGAAGAAGTCACTCGTGGCGAAACGTTTCCTTTAATAAATATCCTGAACTGTACATAAGTGTTTTTTTTTTCCACATTAGGAATAATATTAGAAGAAAAATAAATAATGAATCTGAGTCATAATAATGCAGTTAGAAGCCTGAGTAAATCTATAGATCACTTTGATAACATGAACATAGATAAGTATATTACGGAGCAACTTATAATGTGAACAGACTAATGTTGTAGCCTGACTCCAGGCTTAGGCTTGCTTATAAGTACTTCTGGTAGTTTGGCAGGAGTACAGATGATCATCAAACTATATGTGAAATATGTGGTTATCACGATAGTTACCTTTTTCCTTTAATTTTATGTGCACGGTTGTGCACTTCCTGAGGAATATAGAGATAATATAATAAACGATGTGATATGTCAAGGTATCGTATAAATGAAAATATGATACTTGACATGTTAAACAAGTATCGTAAATTTGTTCATAGTTGTTAAAACTAATTGTAGTTATAGATCCAGACGTCTTCCTTTTAACCCTTTAGGGGACTAATTCTAGGTTTATCGTGCATCCATATGATCTTGTACAACAGTTCAGAATAGATATCAGGTGCAAAGTAAATTAATAACTTTGGAGGCAAATATCTAAATCTAAATCTTCTATCATTGCCCTAACACCGAAAAAAAATATTTCCTAACATACCCGTGGCTCGTGTGTGTTGTCACCAAATTGTGCTCGTCTGTTTGTGGTTGCAGAGATCGATTCTTATCTCCTGGCCTCGCCTCTTCGTTAGCTGCTACTAGGTCCATTCTCTCTCTCTTTACTCCAAGGGCCTTATCGTACCTCATCTTAAAGCTACTTATGAATCCTGCCTCCACTACTTTACTCTCCAGATTGTTCCACTTCCTGACAACTCTACGGCTGAAGAAATACTTCCTAACATTCCTATGACTATCATGTCCTCCCTATCCCTCCTACCCTCAAATGTCATGTGTGTGTGTGTGTGTGTGTGTGTGTGTGTGTGTGTGTGTGCATGAAGAAATATTGATCAGTTCCAATCTTTTATAATTAGTGGGCTGTCTTGAGAGGTGGTAATTACCATGTAAGAGCAACTCCAGCTATGTTGGAAGGAAATCTTTGAAGTTGTCGTAGCCGCTGAACCCACATTAGGATAACTGACGATATCCTTATCATCTACCTAAATTCTCTCACTCATAAACTTTATCATATCACGAGTGAAGCTCATCCTGTGTGATGCAATATTCCAGGGTCACCTTCCAAACATTAATCCTGGTAATGCAACTATTGTAAAGAATATCCTCTCTGCACATTGCTTTCTTTCCCATTATGTAACTTTTATAGAAAATCGTTTAGCAGCAAACTATGAGTATTTTCACAATATAGATATAGAATAGAGCAGGTTGTATATTCTACATGTTCCCACCACGTAACTTTGTAAATAATAACGGAGCGGCTCACTGCTGGTGTTCCCACCAATTATAAACAGTAGCAGCTCACCGCAGCAGGCCTACTGGGCCATGCGAGGCAGGTCCAAGTCTCCTACCGGCTGAAGCCAATAACCCAACCTAGTCAAGTCAGGTCATATTCACTTAAGGACAGATCATATACATTAAACATTGACCAGTCAGTGGTGACAGAGAAATATAAAGCACTGAAGGGTGCAACTGAGAGCTTAAGAATGACTCAAGTAAAATAACATCTCGTAGTTTGAAAAAAAAATAAATGAACCCTTAAGTGGAAGGAGAGAGAGAGAGAGAGAGAGAGAGAGAGAGAGAGAGAGAGAGAGAGAGAGAGAGAGAGAGAGAGAGAGAGAGAGAGAGAGAGAGAGAGAGAGAGAGAGAGAGAGAGAAAGAGAGAGAATATGTTTCTTATCGGTAATTCATGCTATTTTGAGTAATCAAGTGGGTATTATAAGTTGCTGTATGTATTGAATTGCACACTCATAAAATCAAACATTCTGATGAGCACACACACGTTGATGCAAACAAGCGGAAGATGAGCACTCATCCTGACATAAACAGTTTATATACACTGACAGACAGGCACATCACAGGTACACAAACTCTCAGACACGCACATCACAGGTACACAAACTGTCAGACACGCACATCACAGGTACACAAACTGTCAGACACGCACATCACAGGTACACAAACTGTCAGACACGCACATCACAGGTACACAAACTGTCACACACGCACATCACAGGTACACAAACTCTCAAACACGCACATCACAGGTACACAAACTCTCAAACACGCACATCACAGGTACACAAACTCTCAGACACACACATCACAGGTACACAAACTGTCAAACTCACACACCATTCACAAACCTTTATTTTCAGACGACGTTTCGCTCTACATCGAGCTTCATCAATCAGCTTACTCGATGAAACATAATTTAAAGCGAAACGTAGTCTGTAAATATCGACTTTCTCTTCAGGCACTGTCTTTATACATAAGTTATCGGCAAGTATTGAAATTCAATACAGTGTTTTTTTTTTTTCAATTGGGGAAGAAATGTTTCAGGAAGAAAACACAATGTTTATATTACCATATATTTTATGTGAATGTCGTGTCAAATACAAGATTTGCAAAAATATACAAACTTCTTTTAGCAAGGATTAAGAAATATCGTTGAGCATACAAAAAAATAATGTAATATTTACCACATTTACGAAATACCTATGTAAAAGAGTATTCTCTGATCACAGAACCTGAAGCGTTCGTACCGAGAGAACGACAACACTCGTAGTCTCTTGGACCTTTTAAGTTAAATTTGCAAAAATATATTGTATAGATATTTCTCAGTATTACATAACTCGTTGATTTATTCAGAGTATATGTTATAAAACAAACATCAACAATTTAGCAGTCGGCAAGAGGGTGAAATCAAGGAAATAAGAATATTGTGAAATTATTGGTGAACGCGATTAGGTAAATCATATCATGTTAATAATTAATAATTAATAAGTCTTTCACTGGGAGTGACCTTGAATACATTCGTGTGATTAAAAAATATAGCTCCTTCTGTAGCAGTGATTCGACAACAGCCTGTAGCGGTGATTCTTTTGTAGCAGCGATTCTTGTGTGAATCTTCAGCAGCAGTGATTCTTTTGCTGCAGCGATTCTTCTGCAGTAGAGATTCAACAACAGCGAATCTTCTGCAGTAGTTATTCTTCTGTAGGAGTGATTCTTTTGCTGTAGGGTTCTTGTATAAGTGATTTTTCTACAGCGGTGGTTCTTATACTACAGTGATTCTTTTGTAAGTGCTTCTTCTGTAGGAAATGATTCTCTTGCTGCAATGATTCTTGTGTAACAGTGATTCATCTGCAACAGTGAATATTTTCCATCGTTGATTTCTCAGAATCAATGATTTTCTGCATCTTTGCTGCTCTTGCTGCAGTGATGCTTTTCCGTTGTTGATTTATCAGCAGCAGTGCCACTTCTGCAGCTGTGATTCTTCTGTAGCAGTGATTTTTCTGCACCAGTGATTTTCCACACACCACAAACACTATAATAGCAATATTTGTAAAGGTAATTTGATGTGTCCATTATCACGGGGAAAAATTCAGAGAGGATGGGGGAAAAGAGAAAGTCAGTAGGCTAGGCCTAGTGTGTTTGAGGAGCACTGGATGGGAAGGCCAGAGAGTCCCCTACGGTATATGTGGCGGGTGGGTGCACGTAGGATGCTCGGTTGCGGTGACTTCTCGCGGCGTTGAACATCCTTATCACACGATATAGTGAAAAGTGACCACGCCCTCCGGAACTGAGAGCGACGCCTGCGACCCTCTGTGGAGACTGCAGTAGACGGTGCTGGTGTGCTGCTGACGGGGGTGACTGCTTCATATGGTGGTTTGGAAGTTGAGGGTAGGCTGACAGAGGAACAAAACTGTCTTCGTCGTTCCATAATGGAGCAAGTTTTGCAATAGTGTCTGTCTGAAGAGCGATTGTGACGGTGAGTGACATCCTTACTGTTAGCAGGGCTGAGGCTGCGTCTCTCAGTCAGGGACCGCTGACTATTTGTCCGTCTTTCTACACTTGCACCAGAGTTCAGCTTGGATACTGTTCTCTGTTTTAACTTGGTTGGTGAGTCGCAGCTGTGCTCCACTGCGGGCCCACACCAGCATTCATCGGAAAACCTCAACATTTTTTGTCCAGGAGCCAAGCAGCCAGTAGAGGAGTGTGTGTACTGGAAGTGGTCTCCTCGTAGTCGGCCCTCCGCAGACGCCTCCCTCTTGATTCTCTCCACCCTCATACTTGTATCTTCGTAGCTGCAGTCAAAACTATTCATTCTCCTCAGAGAGAATCTTGCTTTATTTTTAAAGTTGTCATTAAAAAGGTAGGTAGTGCTTCTGTAGTTGAGCCCATTCTTGCTAGATGTCATCGCCATTGAAAAGTTCACTTGTAACTGGGGGACTAAAACTCTTCGTTTATGTAACAACAGAGATTGTTCACATAATACAAATGTTTGTGATTTCAGTAGCACCTTGAGCACCAGTGTTCCAGCACCAACGGTGAGCAGATCCCTAATGCAGGGAGATGGATGTCCCCTCTTAAATACGTTAGTGAGGCTCCGCCCTGACTGTGTGCTGCCGGAGTGTGAGAGTTTGTGTGTATGTGTGGCAAGCTGATGGCACTAAGGCCAGCAGGTCACACGGAAGGAAAACTGAGTAAACACGTAATATACTTTGCACTACATGTAAATGCATATTGTAATAATTTCCTCTTTCAAAGAATTATACAAAAATTTACAAAGAATAAATAAAAAATCTTGATTTTAATTAAATAAAAATAATCCGCAAATGATTATATAATCACGTGACATCAAACAGCCAATCTAATTTAAAGATGAATAAAAACTGAAGTTCCAATTACTTGAATGCTTTATCAGCAAGTCCAAAAAAATAATTGCTCCAGTACCTACAAAAAACTTCTTCCTGTGCCAACCCAAGCCTTCGACCTGGTAAATCAGTCGAGAAGGATCAGTGTGGTTAATCCCCTGCTTTCTAAAATCAACCACAAGGATGGTTTTGTGTGTAAGTCGGGAAAAAGGAGGTAAGTTTTATACTCTATGATCGCGGGTTCTATCCCCGCCCGTGGTATGGTTTATATATATATATATATATATATATATATATATATATATATATATATATATATATATATATATATATATATATATATATATATATATATATATATATATATATATATATATATATTAGCCACTGGGCCGGCTGGCTACAATAAGACTCATCCAACTAGGTATATTTATACACCTTAAAGTTGTTGAGTAGATGTGTATCAAGAAAGTTTTAATGGTAAGGTAAAACCAACATATTTTTAGTTGAATGAGATTGTTTGTTTATTTTAGAGTTTTAAAAAGTATTTCTATCAATTTTAAAACATTTTATCACCTAAATGTTTTGGGTATTTTAAATCATTAGCTATTTCATAAATGTTTTTATGTGCACTATTATCCTTCACATCATGATAGAGTTAAGCTTTCTGTATTCTCATAATTTTTTATGAGAGCTTTACGTATTTGTAGCCCGGATATTCGACCTCTAAATGGAGTCCTTATCAGTAGTATAAACACTAGAGGAAGGAGGATGCTTATATAGGAGTGACAGGTCAGGTGGAAGCTAAGTACAGCACTCCAGTTAGTTCATTGGGCTATGCCGGTGGAGAATCTCTGAAGCTTAGACTTTTGGGAAGCTATAAAAAATGGTCTACGTTTAGTCTACCTACCTGGAGGGTATTCCGGCGACCAACGCCCTCACAGCCCGGTCCATAACCAGGCCTCCCGGTGCTTGAAGAGTTTGTCCAGTCATTCTTATAGCTACTCATAGCTGTAGCTTCAAAGAAACTCTACTGGCATGGCCCAATAGCTCAACTGTGGTGACGCACTTTTACGTTCAATAGTCGCTTGTAATTAATGACACGCATTGCTTATGGGCAATGAAAAGGTCTAAATATTTTTCTCAGGTGAATTGGAAAGTTGAAGCCCAGTAACTATTAAGATACACGGGAAGGTAATAATACGTGTATGTTGAATATTAAGTAGTTTTGTAGGATGTCTTCCATCTACCATGTTCGTGATACAGAAACTAAAGATGAACAAACTTGTATAACTCATATGGGTTTAGCACTTGTCTTTTGTGTAATACTAATTAACTTCTAACATGTTTCATTATTCTCTTAGATGAAATGGCGATAATACTACAAGTACAGGAATATTAATGCACATAGCTTGTGGGTAAAAGACATAAGCAAAGTTAAGACATATATATCTTCCTTTTGTAAATGTCATTCTCCCACAGGACGAAAATGCTTCCATCTGCTTTACTGCAGGACGGTTATATTTCCCCTCTGCTGTTTGACAGTAGGGTACTACGTTCCTCTTTTATGTAAAAATTTGCTACTAGTAGATATTAAGTACTATTAGGACTCGAGTTGGAAGCTGAAAGATCCCCCAGCAAATTAACTACCGTACCACAAACATGAAAGAATAAAAACAAAATAGAGTCACCTAGGTTCAGTCTATTCTCTGGATGGATCTTCTCTCTCCACTTTCTGCTATTTACACGATTCTCCTTAACACTCTGACATAAACATTGACCAATATGACCTCTTCCCCTAACTTTTATGTCTCCAAATCTCGTAATAAAATTAAACGTCGAACATTAGTTGAAAAAGCAGCTTAATTATTCCTTTATCAAAATCAGGTTAATTATAAGAAAAGAAGTCGAGAACTAAGTAAGGTCCCAGTTGACTGAAAAACTTGGACTGGGATAGATTAGAAGATGGTCGCTTTGCTTGAGTGCAAGACATAGCAGAGTAGATAGTGAACTGAGACGTCATATACGAAATAGTGAAACCGAAATGAAAAATATTTATATTACTCATTTTTGTTTTCGTGCTTTCACACATCACCTGTCACTAGAGATGCCTTAATACCCGATGAGAGGCTCTTGATTTAGTAGACCTATTCTTCCCTTTCACTGAGTTCAGCCTGATTACTTACCAGTCCCAAGGTGGTGTAGGATCCCTATGAGTTTAGCGCTTTCCATCGCGTATAATACCAGCAACAATAATCTCACACACCAAAAAATTAGAACAATCAACAATCCAGTGCCAAAATCCGGAAGCTTTGAAGCGATCCATCCTTCACCTGGATGTCCACAGGAGCTTCTGTCGTTGCCATGGTGACCTCTCAGCCACGTTATGACGTCAACAAGAGAGCACACACATAAACCCCTTGATTACGGAAAATAACATCGTATAATTTCTTTTAGGTTGCACATACAAGTCCCTCTGTGCTAATGACGGAACTTGACGGAGTGAATTGCTTCTAAATTTATTCTCTGAAACGAGTTAGTAAAAACTTGCAAATATTTTTTTCATCCTTTTGTATGCTATATAACTAAAACCAAGGAACACTCAGTGAGTAGTAGTGAGAGAGAGAGAGAGAGAGAGAGAGAGAGAGAGAGAGAGAGAGAGAGAGAGAGAGAGAGAGAGAGAGAGAGAGAGAGAGACAGACAGACAGACAGACAGACAGACAGACAGACAGACAGACAGACAGAGACAGAGACAGAGAGAGGACAAATAAGTCTGACAGAAGCTTTGCTAATTTATTGATTCTTCTCCTCCTCCTCCTTCTTCTTTCTTCTTCTTCTTCTTCTTCTTCTTCTTCTTCTTCTTCTTCTTCTTCTTCTTCTGCATCTTCATCTTGTTCTTCCTCTTTTTATACCAACCTGGCATGATACATTACCTATGGTATGGTAAGAATGACACCTTGCAAGTAATTGATAAAACTCATACTCTTATGCTCTGTGTTACTGATTCTCTTTTCAATAACCTGAGTTAGTTGGTAAGGTTTAAACCCTATAGACTACACAAGAGTTATTTAATCCCCAGTTTATCTGTACACTAGCATCATGATTACTTTATTTTTTAATTAACTTTCAAAGTAAAATCTATGTTTACTCACTTGGAAATACATCCCTCTAGGTGTATATGCTCGGTAAATTACTTTGCTTTTCCACTTTGTATATATTTTGCATTTCATTCCATGTTCATTCGCATTGCTTTTCATAAATTTCTTATGCACCTCTAATCCGTCCTGTGGGATGCTGCGATTTTTTTGAACTCATGTCGACTCACTGTCGAGAGGCTTGGGTTTAATCTTCGCGAGGGCAAGACGTATTAACAAGTCTTCTTAAACCTACCACTTTTCCCATCTAGCATTGAATAAGTGCCTAAGTATTTGTCGACTGTATTGTATCGCATTCTTGGGCGGTAACTGTATACCATTTGCAGAGACAAATACACACTGTAGTGTGTGGAGGAACTGGGCCCCGATATTCTGTTAAATAAACTGGAGGTATTTGAGTACAGTCATAAACCGAAAGATCACTCTAAAATTGTGACATTATGCTAACTATCCGTAACGACGTATTTCAAGAGGCGACTAAATTTGTAAGTTTTTAATTCATACTACAAAACTGTTCATGACTCACGAAATCGTAATGACACGATTGAGACTCTCTGACCGCGGGATCAAACCCCATCCGTGGTATGGTTTTTTTCAACTGTTCATAATTGGTTCCCTCATATTCAATCTCAGGAAGCAACTGGAGGTAGAAGGCAACGTTATTCCGCTGAGATATCACAAGGGTCTTTTGTTGCGCCACGGAGGTGGATGGTCATCCTACCCAGAGGTGTTGAACATATCTGTAAATGGTGTTGTGAAAGAAGTTAATACTAGTGTGTTGGGAAGGGAAGTGGGAATGAAAGATACTGAATCAGAAAGTATGAGCTAGCCCAGTTGCTTTTTTCTGGTGACATCATTCTTTTTAAGGATTCTGAAGAGAAGTTGGAGATGGGAAGTACAGTGTCTGCTCTCTGAAGGAGGGGTGTTAAGGTTGCAGTTTTATAAGTGTAGTGTAAGCACGCCTCTGGCAAGACAGTGATGGAGTGAATGAGGATGAAAATTTTTCTTTCTCGGACCACCCTGCCTTGGTGAGAATCGGCCGGTGTGTTAATAAAAAATAAAATGTAGAAGAAAATTCAAAATGAACGTGGAAAAGAAATAGGAAATAAGAGTAACAAAAAGACTTTTTCTGAGTCTTTTTTTTTGGGGGGGGTTATCCCAGGTTCTTTACACAAATGCTGCTATGTATAATAATCTTTGTAACTGTATTTGTGTATATCTGAATAAACTTGCTTAAAAGCCGAAACTTGACCTTTACCAATAGTATAGCCTCTCCACGCCATCGTTCTTTAAGATAACAACCATCTTTAGTTTTCTATATACGCAAGAGAACATCAGGGACACTGCACCAAACATTTTGCAGACTCAAAGCCTAAGGTAAGTAAGTAAGTAAGTTTATTCAGGTATACACAAATACAGTTACATAGAATTATCATACATAGCAGCATATGTGTAGAGAACCTAGGATAACCCAAAAAAGTCAGACAGAGTGACTTATTTCCATTGGGGTCCTTTTA